AAATTTTGTATTTTTTACAATTTTCAAAAAAATATTATTTTTTAATTTTTTCCTTAAATTTGGTGCAAAAACAAACAACTTTTCCTTTAGACACTTTTCAGTACAACAAAAAACAAAAAAGTTGTGAATTTTTTTTTTTTTTTTAAATTTGCTATTTTCTGCTTTTTTTGGACTTTTTGTCAGCCTTCTCTGCAGTAGAAAATTTGTCCTATTGGGGCCGTGTTAATAAAAATTAGTTCATATTATGCTAATACACCTTTCTTAACATTAGAATCGACAATTGCATCTCTTACACAAATTTAAAAAATTTTTTCTAAAATAGTACAAAAAATTGAGATTTATAGTGAGTGAAGCATTAGCCGAAACATGAGAAAACATTAAAAACATATCGAAACCTTCCTTTTTTTCTTTTAGATGCCAAATTTAGGTAAAAATACAAAATTGGGAACAAAAAAGAACTCAAAATTTTCAAAAATTCTGCCTTTTTTTGATTTTTTCCATAAAATTTGTTTTTACATTCTCATCAAAAATGAGAAAGTCTTGGATTTGTGCGATTTTGAGCAATGTCTAATTTTGCTAAATCTTTACGTTTCATGACCCCCTGATTCCAAAAAAATGGTTTTTAGAAAAGTGTCTGTCCGTCCGTCTGTCTGTCTGTCTGTCTGTCTGTCTGTCTGTCGCCTGTCTGTAGAAAAATTTGTCGCCACGATAACTCGAATAAATTTTTATGAATCGTCTTGCAATTTGGCACACTTTTTTAGTCTATAAAAATGAAGCCTGAGTTCGTTGGGCAGCCCATTTCGTCAAAAAACAACAAAAATACAAAATTTTGAAATTTTCAAAATTTTGTATTTTTTACAATTTTCAAAAAAATATTTTTTTTTAATTTTTTCCTTAAATTTGGTGCAAAAACAAACAACTTTTCCTTTAGACACTTTTCAGTACAACAAGAAACAAAAAAGTTGTGAATTTTTTTTTTTTTCAATTTGCTATTTTCTGCTTTTTTTGGACTTTTTGTCAGCCTTCTCTGCAGTAGAAAATTTGTCCTATTGGGGCCGTGTTAATAAAAATTAGTTCATATTATGCTAATACACCTTTCTTTGTTGCGCCAATATTAGCAACATAAAAATTATAAATATAATAACAAAACATATATTAAAAATGTTTAAAAATCATTGAAACAAAAATTTAAATTCATTTTATTTAAAAATAATATTTTACTAAAACTCGCTTCAAGTTAGATTGCAGCAGGTTTAAGATCGCGTTACCATGAGGAATTCCCGAAGTCAGCAAAACGACACTTAGAATACAGTGACTTCACTTGGCAACTCACATCCAAAAGAAATAATATAATTTTATTGTTTCAAAAATAATTTTAATTCACGTAAGATGCAAGCCCTTGAAGTCAACACGGATAATGAAAACGTATAAAGGATTATAGAATTTAAAATTAAATATAATACAATCATTATAATTCAATTAATTATAATTATTGTATTGTAATTATTATGATTTTAAAATTTATAATTAAAATTAATATAATTAAAATAATACCGCATTGTAATAGACGGGCATCGTGCGAAGAAAACAAAGGTTGTGTTCAACGACGAAGCGCTCTCTCTTGCTCTAACGGAATGTTCGCGACTCTTTACTCCTATAGCCACAAATGCACGGCGGGTTCTCGCTCGCTCTCATTTAAAATTTAACATAGAATACATACATACCCCGGGATCTTTATGAAATACGCATTCGCTTATGTTCCTATACCTACCCTCTCTTTACCCATTACACTTTCCAGACCTACAAGCTATGCTGCCATGCTAACACCAAGCATGTGCATTTCTTTTGATATCTAAACAACTGATCAATTCCAGATCAATATTGGGACAATTGATTTAATGTTGGAATTGTAGTAACCTTTAAAGGGTTACAACATAGAATGGAATTTCTATTTTTGAAATGTCCATTATTTCCAACTTACATTAATCCTATTTTCAGAGATTGATAAAAAAAAAAAAAATAATAATAATAATAATAATAATAATAATAACAAATAGACAAATTAATATTTGTTTCCAAAATTGAAAGAATATTTAAAATGTTCTTTCCTAAGAATAAAAGAAAAGGAATGCATTTCAACATAATGCACCTGCAAAATTGAAAATTCAGCAATTTCGGCATAGCAACAGGTCCAACGCCCTGTCCCCACCTTTCCACATTCTTTCCGGAAGCAAACTATAAAAACACATTAATTACCCATCTAAATTGAACAGTACGGTCTCTACTCGCGAATAAGCGCGTACGATTAAAAATCCCAGGCAGTCTCCCGTCCGGTAACTAGGACACTTTATTGTTTGTATTGTCATACCTACAATATTGTTCGGACGAAAATAAAATCCAACTTACTCCGAAGTCCGCGGAGGCAGCCTAGAAGCCGAATCAGTGAAGATATATTTTATCTTGTTGAAAGACCGGCCGGATCCGCGAAATTTCCGCGTCCGCCCTGTGTTTGGTGGTTTAGGAGTTAGAATAAGAGACAATTTGTGAAAATTTGTTTAGCGCCCGTTGACGAGTGCGACGGTAGTTTTTAAGTGCGAACGCCAGGACGGTAAGTACCAATGTATCGTTCCAGGCCAATTAAATCCATTTTCTACCTTTCCTAAAAATTGTACGAGGGGCAGATAATTCGAGTCAATTTAAATTTAATAAATAACTGTATAACTGATATATTTTAACTGTTTTAAATTTCTTTATTCCTTCTTGAGATCTGATAGGGTAGATTTTCCGAATTTTCTAGGAGAATCTCAGCTTCGTGGATATAAATCGAATCCCATAATAATAAACAAGACCTTTAGTCTTGTCAGTTTGAACTTCCGAGAATCTTAAAAATAGGACCAACTTAAAAGTCTACTTTAATTTTAACAATTAATAAATTATCAATTGTTTTAAATATTAAATATTTTTCTGGTTCGTAACAAACTGATGGTGGCAGCGGTGGGATTTTATCCCGGCGAGGCCATCGTGCCCTGAAGATTTCAATTTCTATTTTTGTTTTTCTTTTAAAATGTCTTTTAGAAAATGCCACATAAAAATAGAAACGTTTGGGGAGGGTCAAAATTAAAGAATTTGTTGAGAATTAGAGGTTCTTCTAAACTAGAAAAAGAGATATTAAGTGACAGAAACTTAAGTAAAATCATATCTGCAAATCAATCAAAAGTAGAAGCCGAAATCGCGCTTAAACGAAAAGAAATCGAGCGCCGTGTTAAATTAGCTTTGGAAAACAGAGAAAAGGAAAATTAAAACCTACCTTTCCTTGTTTTGATCTTTCTTGACATTACTACCCCCCCCTTTTTCAGAATTATTATTTTTTTTTCCTTTTATTTATACTATCTTTTTCTAATTTAATTTCGTTGTTAACCCAAGAAAAGCAACGATTGAGATTTAATATTAAATCTTAATTTTCAATCTTTTAATAGGACTATTTAAGACAAGGCTCCGTGGCTCGCCCATTGGTAGACAAGTCTGCCTAGACTTAATTAAAGCTTGAATAGCTATTCTCGATTCGGTTATGCGATTTTACTCCATCCTTATTCCCTTATCCAAGACAAGGCTCCGTGGTTCGCCCATTGGTAGACAAGTCTAAAAATTAAAAAAAAAAAAAAAAAAAAAAAAAAAAAAAAATTATTATATATATATAATTTTTCTTCCTTCTTTTACCTATACTATCTGTTTCCAATTTAATTCGTTGTTAACCCAAGAAAAGCAACGATTGAGATTTAATATTAAATCTTAATTTTCAATCTTTTAATAGGACTATTTAAGACAAGGCTCCGTGGCTCGCCCATTGGTAGACAAGTCTGTCTAGACTTAATTAAAGCTTGAATAGCTATTCTCGATTCGGTTATGCGATTTTATTCCATCCTTATTCTCTAATCCTAAGACAAGGCTCCGTGGTTCGCCATTGGTAGACAAGTCTAAAATAAAATCCTTCTTACCCTTTCTTTAATTCTCTAGTTCTTGTATTCCGCTATTTTTCTTCCTTTACTCTGTTTTTCTCAATTTGTCATTTTTAAATGCCAGAAAGTTTAAGAAAGAGGGGAACGCGATCTAGAAAGAAGGGCAGATCAAAAAGATCAACAAGGGCCTGTTTAAAGACACAAAAAAAATTTTCTGCTAACAGAAAAACCGTAAAAACTCTAGACTCTGCCCCCTCACAAATAATTCTCCCTGAAACCTTTCCATCTCCAATCGTTAAATATCGCCGACTTACTTTAGCTGGTTGGAAAGAAAAATACCCAGAAAATTTGCATTATTCTGTGACATTTAACCAAAAATTACCATATTATAAAGGTAGTGTTATTAATCGCGGAACCTTAAGGGAACTTTCCCTAACCCTGGTACGATCAGCTGATATTCTCACAGACACCACAACTCTAAGTCTAAGAGTAAGACGAATCGAAAATTTCAACGACCAGAAAGTGAAAATTATCCGAGCTCCCGTTCTAGTTCTAGATTCAGATAATGACAGTTACGACAGTGACGCTACTGTGAAATACGAAAATGACGTTTTGATAATTGATTAAATTACCTCATGTTTATTCAGATTTATTCAGTATAAATTGGATGGACGAACAATGATAGAGTTAAGAAACATGTCTTACCACGACATCGACTCCCCCTTTTCGACACCTATTGCACACATTAAGAGAATCCCCACTTCTAACAGTCGCCTTGTTATAAATTTTACCTCCTTGAATAATAAAGTGTCGCGTTATGAAAAATTGCCAACAACAGTGACCCCCAAACAATAGTTCGCGCCTCTTACGCACTCAGTCGATTTTATTTTTATTTTGTGAGTGAAATTATTTTCAATTCCGATTTTAGTTATATTGTGCACTTAGCAGGAATATTCCGTGGTGGTGAAATAACTAAAAATCTGGACTATTAAAAGATTCAATTGTGTGTGATTATCTATTATCTCGTGCATTCCCAAATTCAACATGTCTCGTCCCGAAGAAAATGGTAGCATACATTTTGTCGCCGACCAAGCAAATTTGCAGGGACAGCAAAATGCGTTCCAGCATGACACAACAGCAGCAATGGCCTCTGTACTCGAATGTATGACCTTGCAGCGTAGTACATTCCACATTCCGTGTTTTGATGGGCGAAGCCCACCTTTAAAAGAATTTTTGCAGGATGTTGCGAATGGAGCAGTCTTCATTAATGAACAAACTGAACCAGGTTTTATTAAAGCCATTTTAAGTAAGCTAAAGGGCGCAGCACGAGAAAGTGTCAGAGATAAACAATTTTTGACAACTCAGGAATTGATAAATCACCTTACTAAAAGATTTGCCACATCGAAAAAGTACCAATGGTATTTAGAAAACATCATAAACATTCGCCAGAAACAGTCAGAAACGGTCAGCGATTATCACGATCGCCTACAGGGATTAATCAGTGGAGCGAAACACGCATTGGACGCAAAATATCAACACAGGTACCGACAGGTAGAGGGCGCTGCCGTCCGTGTACAAGAAGAAGCTGAAAGCACCATCATGATGCGACCTATTATCGAGTGTGCACTAGAAGCCTTTATGAGAGGATTGCCCGAAGAGATGTCGATCTTCGTTGACACCCGAAACCCCGCCAATTTAGAAGAAGCTTTCGACCACGCCCTGCGCGCTGAAGAAAGGCAGGAATATGCAGAGAAATCACGAAGTTCATCTTACCGTATCTCACGACGTGATGATCCCCCTCGCCCACCTAGTCCATACTCACGCCAAATGGACCAACCAATTCAAGAAAGGTCGCGTCGAGAAACTGAACGGGATCATCACCCCCCTAAACAACATAAAAATTCGGTCAATTACACGCTCCAATTCACCCCAGAACAATTAGCCACCTTTTATCGGTCTTTGATGCCAACTTTCGGGAATGCTCAGCCGTGTATGTCGTCAGCACAGCCATCCCCTTCCCCTCAGCTAACGAACTATCAACTACATACAGCTCAGCATCAATCCATGCCCTATGCACCTCAAGCTATGCAACAATTTCAACAAACGAATTATCCTAGGCAAAATCCGAGTTTTAAACCTAGCCCTACTCCGCCTCGCTCAGTATCACCTGGTCCACAGAACGATTTAAACTCACAGCAGACTCGACGCTCAGACGCGGCACCGAGTCCAATACCCCAGCGTCATCGGAGTGTTCAGTTCGGAGAAACTACGGTAAGGTCCTTCGAGCAGGATCAACAGCCGAGGACTCCCCAGTAGTGGAACTTTCTGGACCAGAATTTCGAAAATCAAAAATCCGATTCTTTATTGATCCAGGCTCTGACTCTAATATTATCAAATTGTGCGCCCTAAAACCTGGTCTTACCATCAACCCTTGTAAATCCATCGAAATCATAGGTATCAATAAACATCCAGTCATAACACTTGGTACCATTGACCTTACAATCTTGAAATCCACGTTCGAATTTCATGTTGTAGAAGATGACTTTCCGATTTCATCACAAGGGATTCTAGGAAGACACTACATCCGCAAGGAAAAGGCCCAGATATCATTTTGGCATAATGCCCTAATAATAATGTCCGACCCAACCAACCCTATTCCTTTCGTGGATAAAGAATCACGCGCTGAAAAAGAACTTTTGAAACCACTTATTAAACCCTTCAAAAGAGTGTTTCGAATTCATGCCAGGACGCGTAGTCCGATTGCAATCGACGTCATCAATCCTGACCTGCCTCAAGGTTACCTCCCACGGATCAAAACTCCAGAAGGAGTATTTATTGGTGAAGCTGTTGTGAATAGCAAGGATGGTGTTTGTCATGCCGTTGCAATTAATACCACCGAGATGGACGTAGACTTCGAACTCACCCCCCAAGAATTAATACCTTTTGACTTCTGCGAATTGCCTGGAGAAGAATCTTCTGAGATCGAAAATGAAAATTTTCCAATTCCAACGATTTCATATGCAGAACGCGTAAAAAGGGTAAAAGAGGCCCTTTTCGTATCTCATCTAACTCAGGAGGAGAAGAACCTTGTTTTTAAATGGGCAGAAGACTACGCGGACATTTTTCATCTTAACGGAGAGCAGCTATCCTGTACTCATTTGATCCAGCATCGGATCCCCACCATCGATGATAAGGTGATACATAAGAAGCAGTACCGATCACCAAATGAGGCTCTTGAGCAAATTGACGAACAACTACGTAAGCAGCTCGATAGTGGAATAATAAGAAATTCCACTTCTCCTTACAACGCTCCACTGCTGATAGTGCCGAAGAAACTCGACGCATCCGGAAAAAGGAAATGGCGCGTAGTCATAGATTATCGGGCCCTTAACGAAAAGGTAATAGGAGACGCGTATCCCCTCCCTAATATCACCGCCATCTTTGATAAGCTTGGGTCTGCGAGATTCTTTACAGTCTTCGATCTTGCAAGCGGATTCCACCAAGTCGAAACGCACCCAGACGATAGACACAAAACCGCTTTTTCGTCTCGAAATGGGCATTTCGAATATGAGCGCATGCCCATGGGAATTAAAAACGCACCTCCAACATTTCAGCGGCTTCTAAACAATGTTCTTGGTGGAATGCTCGATTCAGAAGCATTCGTGTATCTAGATGATATTATTATCTATTCTGACACCCTTGAGGAACATGACAAACGAGCGCGAAGATTGTACAATCGACTTCGAGACGCAAACCTCAAGCTCCAACCTGACAAATGCGAATTCATGAAAAAGGAAGTTGCATACCTTGGTCACATAGTGGGAGAAGAAATGTAGTGAAATGTAGTGAAACCAAATCCAGCGAAGATTAAGGCCATCAAACATTTCCCCGTGCCAAAAACTCAGAAGGAAGTTAGAAGTTTTCTAGGTCTCTCAGGTTACTATCGACGCTTTATAAAAAATTATGCTATGGTGGCGAAACCTTTGTCCGATCTATTGAAGAAAACGAAAGAGTGGAAGTGGAAAGACCAACAGCAGAGAAGTTTCAAAAAAACTCCGAAAATATCTGTGCAGAAGACCTATTCTCCAATATCCAGATTTTACGCAGCCCTTTAAACTCACAACCGATGCTTCGGAACACGCAATTGGAGCTATGCTGACGCAAAAAAAAAATGGTATTGACCTCCCTGTCGCATACTACTCTAAAGTGTTAAATGCAACTGAGCAAAAATATCTTAAGACAGAGAAGGAATGTCTTGCTACATTATATGCTGTGGAGCATTTTCGTCCATATCTATACAGTCAAAACAAAGAATTTATTCTTTCATGTGACTGTGAACCAGTTCATTGGATAAGTTATGTGGAAAATCCTGGAACTAGGCTCGAAAAGTGGCGACTTAAACTTCGAGGATACAGATACAAATTTGAGTATAAGCCAGGGAAAATAAATCGAATCGTTGAAGCCCTCTCAAACAACCCTGTTGATGATACCAACCCTCAGGACAAAGGGGATAGTATACAATCTACTGAATCAGAATGGTCAGAATCTTCCGAAGAATCTAATCAAGAGGAAGATCAACATTCCGGGCCACAAGATCCTTCACCCTCGTTACGAGCATTTCCCATCACGCGAAGTCAAGCCGAAAAGAATGACGGTGCGCGAGTGAAACCTGATTCGTCTCAGAATAAAATTAGTTCAACAGTTCCCCCACCAACTAAAATACTGACCCGAGCAACAGAAAAGACAACGAGTCTGAGACCCAATCCCACTTTCAAACTTCCATTGACCTCGAAATTACCTACTGCAAACAAGCAATTACGAAACCCTTCATCCTCATCTTCTGAATTCCGAACAACAAGATCCACCAGAGACACAATAAAAAAGGGTGTGTTTGCACCAAAGACAATTCTCTCAAGGCCAACAACAGTTCCCCCACTCAAACCTATACAAAAAAATCCAAAAGATTTCTCAGCCACTGGAAAACTCTTAAACCCAAATCTGCCCGGTGCAAGAAAAAGAGGTAGACCTCTAGGAAGCACAAACATTAAGAAGAAAGAAGACGATTATGTTGTCCCTTCTAGCAGCATAGTCACTGACCTAGACACTAGCTGTGTCGCAAGCAGAACACGAAAGAGGAAACGCGAATCTCTCACTGAGGCCAAACCACGAGAGGAAAGAGAATTCTCTTCGTCAGATGAATCCGCTACGGAAAGCGGAAACGAGGAAAATTCTGATCCTCCAGTTTTCCGAAAAAGCCATAGTGTATTTCCCAGCCTACCATTGCATCCCCCAATAAGACAATCTTCCTCCGCGAGTGACAACAATCTAAAACCAACCCTGCAATCTGAAACCCCCTTTTTTTTAAATCAATACACAGACGTTTATGTAGATGGCGCATGTTGTGATAATGGAGGTGTAAGACCACGTGCGGGAATAGGTGTATGGTTCGGACCAGATCATCCCTTAAATGTCTCCCGTAGATATCGAGGAAGGCAAACAAACAATGCCTCAGAGATTGAAGCTGCAACGGAAGCCATCAGACAAGCAAAACGTGCTGGCATCGACCATTTAAGAATAAAAACTGACTCCAAGGTTCTTTTACAAGGAATACAAGAATGGGTTCCAAAATGGCAAACAAATGATTGGAAAACAAACGAGAATAAACCAGTCAAAAACAAAAAGGCTTATGAACGTTTAGTTGACGCATTAAAGAACATAGATGTCATTTGGGAACATGTACCCGGTCATGGCGGAATAGATGGAAACGAGAATGCTGACTGCTTGGCAAGAGAAGGTGCCATGCTGGAGCCTGATTCCAGTTCTTCCGGCACCGAATCATCGGACAAAGAACAGGCTAATGAACTTCCGCTGGAACAGATAATCGTAACTGGATCTTCTCAACCTGTCTACAGCGAAGAAAGTTCTGAACTAGCCGAAGGAGCCAACCAAGAACAAGAAAATATCGCACCCGTTTCAGTCGACCATGAGAATTCTATTAATCTATCGATCAGAAAATTTGATGAATCTCTGCAACAACGAAGATTAAATCACAATAACAACACTCTGGCATGGGACCACGAAGGTATGGACAAAACTCCACGAAGAAAGGCTCACATTTCCGATGACGAAAGTGACGAAGAATACTTGGCATACCTAAAATCACTGGACCCTTGCCAAGGTCTCGACGATAACGTTTTCGAAGGGCGACTAAAAAGATTCCTTGAAGGTTTCGACAAGCATCGAACAAAAGTCAAGAAACTACGGAGATACCGCATCCCGAATCTGGACCTCACTTGATATCGCAACCATCCCCATCTGCACTCCCCACCTCTGGAATTTTGAAAGATACACCGCTGACAAGCCGCGTCCCCTTCCAAGAGAAAAGGAAGTGTAGTTCAATTCAAAGACATACCGGAAATAAGCGAAGTGCTAAATGTCAACGAAAATCTACCGATATTCACCCCGGCCCCTTTAACCTCTCCAGGGGCCCAATCTACCCCTTTCACTCAGTTTCGTGCCAGGGAGAATGAACTAGTGACCGACAATCGGAAACAAAAACCAAACATTGTGCCACGACAGTTACAAACTGAGAATGACAATTTGTCCCCTCCAAAGCGACATATCCCCCACTCCGCAACATCGGTAAATCTTAAAATCCCGGACCTGGATTCGTCGTGTTCGTCATCCACGGAAAATTCAGATAATGAATGTGTGATTACCCATAATCCTCGCGATTCTGTGGAAAACTCGGAAAATGTTTTCCACGAGTGGACAGAACCACTAACGTATAAGAAAGACAATATAGCACATTTCATATCAGAAGATTATGAACCAATCGACTCAGTTGCAAAACTTTTAATTGCTACAGAGAAGATTGATTTTCAAGACATCCGGGATAACAAACCAGTGAAAGGTCAAGTCCATGTTACACTTTGCGGTCGATACAAAGTATACTCGATTGTAGTGAAAAAGAGACATTCGGACGAACTAGACTGGAACGACGTTACGACGGGGTTAAAGAACCTAAAGTACGCACTGACCTTAGACAATCAAACACACTGCCGTATGGCTAATTCGGGAGATTTGTTAGGAAGTTTGCCACAAACAACAATGGCGGGCATCTTAGCAGGAATATTCCGTGGTGGTGATATAAAGATCACTCTCTGCCACGGTAAAATTGAGGTTCCTGCTGAGATCCTGCGACCAAAAATCATTGCCGAATTTCATGCCAGTCTGATCGGAGGTCATAAGGGCATAACAAAGACATACCGTCGAATTAGGGAACGCTATTATTGGCCTAGAATGCGAGACGAGGTCACTCAGTTTGTGCGAAAGTGCAAAAGTTGCCTTGAGAACAAACTTGTTAGGGCACGAACTCGAGAACCTATGCTAATAACAGATACCCCAGCAACCCCATTCGACAAAGTGTCATTGGACACAGTGGGAAAATTAAGAACTACCCCTAATGGGAACCGATACATTCTCACGATGCAAGACAATTTTAGTAAATACTGCATCGCGGTTCCCATCCCAGACATTAAGGCCACAACTATTGCACACGCAGTGGCAACGAATCTTTTCTCTCTGTATGGAGCACCTCGATGCGTGCTTACTGACAGAGGAGGGAGTTTTGTGAGTTCCCTTATGCGTAAACTCGAAAGAATTTTTGGCGTAGGGCAACTCACAACTTCCGGTTATCGTCCTCAAACCAACGGGGCACTTGAAAGGAGTCATATCGAGCTGACTGATTATATCAAACATTATGCGAATGATTTCGACGATTGGGATCGTCTACTTCCTTTCGCCATGTTTAACTATAATACGTCAGTTCACGAGGCGACTAATTTCACCCCATACGAATTGGTTTTTGGTCGAATGGCTCGGATTCCAAGTTCGTTCCCACAAGGACCTGAATTGGAAACTTACGGTGTGTACCTGAGGGATCTTATCGTTAGGCTGCATGAGCTGCAGAATTTGGCCGCACAGAGATTGATCCATGCAAAGGAGAAATCAAAAGCACACTACGATCTGAAAGCTCGGCCTTCTAACGTTAAGATCGGCGATAAGGTATATACTTATAAGGAAGTAAGGTCCAATAAATTCGACTCCCGTGCTAATGGTCCATATTCTGTGGTCGGATTGACCGAGAATAATAATGTGGTTTTAGAAGATGAGACTGGCGAGAGGTTCGTCAAACATAGAGATAAGATAATGGTTGCCCATCTGTAACCATTATCTTCCACCAAAATCATTATAATAAAAAAAAAAAAAAAATTTGTTTTAGATACAACAATGATGACAACACATTGGCCCTTGAAGTTTCTGTATTTCCTTCCCATCCTGATGACATATGCAAAATTCGAGGATCAGGATAGCCTACGGATGCATGGAGAAGGGTACGACATTACCCCAGTAATTGTCAGCAGTGGGATTTATTTCGAGCACGTTTCTGAAGTCCGAAGATCGACCAGTCGCTGGAGAGTAGCAGTGTTCCTTGACATTGCCAAACAAAGACGTCATTTCAACGACCTAAAAGCACGAATGGAGAGGATGAAAGAACTATGCCAACAACAAGAAAGAAATTGCAATGGACCCCCAGACTCTTTCAACTGGGAAGACAGATGGGAAATGGTAGAGGAAATACAAAACCAGTTCCAAATTCAAATCCGGGAATTACAAAATAGTAAAGAAACATCACCAATCAGATTGTCATCCCAATTGAGAGTAAGACGGAGCGTGCCATTACTTGGAATTTTGGGAAAGATTGCTGGACCAGTGGCCGGTGTCCTAAATTACGACGACGGGGAACGCTACGACGCCGAAATAAGAGAGCTAAACGAGGCACAAACCAACCTCTCACATTTAGTAGGGAAGCAGACCCATGTTATTCGATCTCAGTTAGATACTCTCCACTCTCAGTATCAACATCATGATGCTCGAATTGAACAGATTGAACAAAAATTGAGAAACCTATCATCCACAATTAATGACATCGTATCACCAAAAGAGGAATTAATGCGAAGAGGAATAGTGTCATCCATCTTATCAGGAATAAAACTAGGTCTGGACCACAACATACGAATTACATCCACCATGCTGGATGCAATACATGACGCTCG